CTATGCCATTCTTCATGTGGTATTGTCATTTTGGAATAATGTCAAGGCCACGCGCATGAAAACCATTGGGAACCGTAACTTTCAAGCAGAATTTTTGCACACCCATAGATGGTACATCCGATCTATTTGCTGTTTTGTGTAGTACATTTGATGTGTTCATCATGGGATATAACTCGATCTGCGATTCATTGGTTCAGAGAATATGCGGGCAACATTCTTTACCTTGTTTTTTTCGTGTAATTTGCGGGTTTTTTTGACTGTTTCGTCGTATTCTGGACGACTTTCAATGTTCCTTTGTGTCATTAGACGTTCAGTGGTTAGTTTATAGCCGGTGTGATCCTAGTTCATTGATTTCACAAGTTTCTGCCATGAGCAACGAACAATTTTCATGTTCTATTCTTTGAGGTGTTTTGAGTAATTTTGCTCTTTTGTACAATTAAGTGCAAAACTTCCAGGTTTTGATGAATCCTGGGGTTAATCATTCTGTCCGCAGTAGGCGACATCTCCCTGCTTCGCCCTGACCATTTATCGTATATGCAGAAATGTTTATTACTCCATAGCCTTACTGTTTTCCTACCCCATCTAAAATTCTCTGAATTTTCTTGCCCTTTTAATTGGTGCTGAAGTAACGTTTGTGTCTGAACTTTATCACGTTCATAATTAACCCTTGGTATTGGACCTCTCATGGTAAAATTTTAAAATTAAAATATTCACTGGTTCAGAAATGACAGCCGATTTTTCTCTTGAACTCGTGCAAAAAAATGACCGGGAGATACATTTGGGCCACCCATTAAAATGATAAAATGTTCACCATTTCCTGATAAGTGAACTTAACGTTGTCAATGACGCATTCCTGCCACTCTTGTGAAACTTACTGGGAAAGTTCTTCTGAATTTTCTTCATCCTCACTAATCTCGTTGTCACTATTTTCATCAACACTTAAAGTTTCACTAATATTGTTGGATACGTCTGTAAATGTTGATTTCTTCACCTTCAAAATCGTACTCTAGGCATGTGGTAGTTTCCAAATCCACTAATTTGTCACTGACCATATCGTCAATTATATGGATAACCTTTTTAGCAATCTCCATTTTATTTGGGAAGTCCACCGCGTCACCACATTCCCTATACCTGTCTTTTGCTAACCGAAGCACTGTCTCACAAATGCTAATTATTTTTGCCATTATTGTTCAATTGCCAAAATTATTAACAATAAATCCCCTATTTATTAAACAACATTATTTCTAAAAGCAAATTAAATATTGCAATTCATATTAATGACAAGCGAGCACGAGTCAGCTGGAAACCGCTCTCAGCCGGCTGAGTGATGGTGACGAGTTGCATGGGTGAAGTGTGATTGCATGCGTCACAAAAATCATCATATCATGACCAAAAGTGATTTTTACACGAAAATTTTAGTAGATTGGGTCACTAGTATTAGATAGTGCATTAATTGTATATAGTGAGAACCCTTAACTCGATAAGCAGTCGGGGACCTTCCCTTGTTAGTTTTTTTGTTGAAATATGTTCCTGTGGTAGAGAAATTATCATCGGTAAACGGGTTACTTTTTTTGGGTTTTTCACCGTACCGTTTGGGGAGAGAGGTCGATTTTTTACCATTGCTTAGGCTTGGGATATCTGTAGCATGTGACGCTTTCTAATCGAAAAGACCTTCATCTTAGAGTCACTTTTCAGTGTTAATCTGGTCTATAAAGTTGAAAGGTCATTTATGTAGCCAAAGTCTCCGGCATCAGCCAGAGATTTTGTGCTATTCTGGTATTTAAAGCATCGGACATCACTGTAGCCTTTCTTGACCTTGGACCACCGAAACTTTTATACCTAAGATAGACACTGTCTCTAGGATTACTTTAATAGTTTTGGCAACCAGATCATAGTTGTACTTGGACTGCTACACTACATCAAACATTGTGCATTTTTTTCTTGTGCAAAAAGTGAAAAATTATTGCCGCGCGCGTGTAGCTAAGCTTCTCCTACTTTTGACCTAGTGACGTAAAGTAAAAACGGTCAACACCAACGATTGGCACTGAATGTATGCACAAACCGCAACTGACGTTTTAAGTTTATGTTGACCCGTTCAAAAACTACGCTCTACTATCACTTTTTATGGTTAGACTATGTATTTATTTACTTATCTATGTATGTAATCTCTACAAAATTGTGGCAGAGGAATCAATTACTTACAATTCGTGAAGCGGTCTATGAATAAGTGAGTAGTCCTCCCTTATGTCTATATGTATGTATTCTGCCGAGCACAAACATTTATTAATGATATACATATACGTAAATTTATAATTTTAGTTCTAACCCGACCAAGCAAAATATGCTGCTTTAACCCATTGATTCAATATTTAATATTTTGTTTCCTCCATGATGGAGCATGCTGTCTTATCTACGTCATGATACTGAAGACCGATTCATTTAATGAGTGCGAGATAGGGTACAGTTCCAAACAGTTGTTCAAAAGTCTTTTTAGCTGTGATTCCCTGTTTCACTCAAATTAAATTTTCAGGTATGTATGTAGATGGTTCTAGATTATTAAGTAGCTTCAGCTACTTAATAATTATGCGAAGACTTTGGTCGTCAGTCTGTGACACAAGAAGTTGGTAAAATTTATCCCACACTGTGCACAAATTACAAAATTTTGAACAAATTTTGCACCACGTTGGATAATTTTGCCCAATTTCTATGTAACCCTCTATGTTGTCCAATGTTGAGTAAATTTTACACAACTTTGTTTAGACTGTAGTTCAAATACTCTAAGAATGCCTTATTTGCCATGAAAAAACAGAAAATGGGACGTCCCCCAAACTTATTTATTTTTGACACACGCGCTTCCTTGATCAATTACCAAGCGATCAATTAAATAAATATGTGCACACTATATTTATCAGTGAATCTAAATTATCCAACATTTTGTTATATGTTGATATCTCAGACTTAACAAAGTCAGTGAAATAAATTTCTCACTAATGCTCGACCAAGGTTTAAATATAAATACGTACATCGGCAAGGCTCCTCTTAAGTTTATCCCAACTCTGCACATAAATTATAACAAAATTACTTTAACAATGTATCAAACTGAATATCTTCCTCGATTGATATTTTTGCTAAAAATATGCAAAATCCTGTCCTGCCACCCATTCGAGTGGGACTCTACATGGGGTCGATATGTCCAGTGCGGGTCACCCATTCGGATCGGCATGTTCAAACTGCAATGCCTCCTCTCCGTCGGTTACTGCACGGCTCAAGGTCTCAACATTTGCTTCGGACCGTTAATGGCAATCCAGAAATTTCAAGGTTTCGGGATCTTCATGACGTACCTGCTAACATGCACGCTTCGATGGAACTACAACCTCGACAACGGCCCGAGCCAGATCATCCACTCCTTTCTGGACTTGGAGGCCACACTCATGACCAATCTACCCCATCTGCCGGTTTCCCTGGAGGCAAAGGCGGTCAAGTTGTATATCCAATGATGCGACGTTTGCATTCCCGCCTTCCCGGTGCTGCTCTTCATTTTATTACGGGTCGCGCCATGCACACCTCCCTTCATGTTTTGCATGCTGCCAGGGTGTCAGGATGCGGAAACTTGCACGGGAAGCCACTTCTCTCGTCTAGGCGTGCATATCTTTGAGGCCTGGATGTCCACACACATAGTTACGTTTAGCTACGTTTTCTTTGTGGGAATCGTTTTCATCCTCGACTTCCTCCGGGTGTTGGAAAGGTTTGCAAATAAACAAGACGTTCATGTTTTCCATAAAATATTAAGAATAGAATTTCGGTTTTAAAAAGTAAATGGGCTAGGAATTCTATATCTATTAAACTATACAAAATCTCTTAGCAAAGGGTAACTTGATAAGAGCAAAGTTTACGAGGATTTAATAAATCCTCGTGAAAATAAATCCGATTTATTTTCATGAATTAAAACGATTTTTCAAGGTTAGTACCATTTTTAAGAGTGCAAGTGATTATTACCAAGTGATTAGATTAAATAATTACAATAAGCAAAATATTGCATGAAGAATATAAACAAACCATTGAAATGAAATTCAAATTCAGCGCACACGTTTACGTTCACGTTAATTCGCACACGCAAAATTCGTACACCCCGTAAACGTAAACGTTAACGCCAAATTTTACGTTTACGTTAGCGTTTACGTGAACTCCCGCTAACTCGCAACCTACCTAATTTGGGTGGCAAATCTTGGTGCATTATGCACAACAAAACAAATGGAAAGTAAAGTCTGTGTGATTGTTGTCCTTACGATGGAGGTCTCGCACCGAATGCTCTTTGGTTTTGATCTTACTACGTATGCTCCCAAACGTATGTAGAAATATGCTGAGCTATTTACGGAAAAGTATAAATAGTGAGACGAACTATGATGCAGCATAATATTTTATGTATATGATGACAGCAGCTTGTTTTCTCCTTTTAAGAAGCCTCACCAGAATTTTTATATTCATTTTTTGGTTTTCAAGCCTGCCAGTAACCAGTAGTGTAGTTTACTCAAAATATGTAGCGCCTATCGGTCTTCAATTTAATTAGTGTGAAATTTATGTATTAGTAACTTTCTAATTCATAAACAAAGTCAAGGATTTTCTGAGGAAACTGCTTTACCTAATTTGGTTAAACTGTTCAGATCGATTCAAAAATTAAAATAAACCACGTGAACTTTTCATTATTAGCTCACCCTGCGTAGCATGAGAGCTAGACGGACAAAACAAAAAATCTAGCTGCCGAAGCTTAACTATTTGGAATGAACACCGTCAGATAATTTTGCAAGAAAAAAATTTGAGAGAGTTACAAACTTTACTTTGTTAATATGTAACCTGCTAACGATGCAGACTGATATTCACTATGAAGAAAAAATTCTTCAATGGTGAAGGTTCAGGGGTACTGGACTGGAAAAATATGAAATTTAACAAAAGATAAGAAGCACATTTTGGTGCGAGGATAAATATACCTCAACTGTTTCTATAGCTTTCATTTATTGTATTTTTATTGGTTTCAAAGTAATACACAAATTACGCTAGTGGTATTCACTTTATTATGATATTGAGACATTCCTGGCCTCGGTAACACTCACACCTCAGATTAGATTTCCATAACACTTGGCTTGACCATCATAGGTACAGTGTACGGAATCATCTCCACTGTTGTAACCACCGTTGTAACCACGGTTGTAACCACGGTTGTAACCTCGGTTATATCCAACGTATCCGCCTCGACCTGCACCAGGAAATGATGAAAAACTGTGACCTATATATTTTCTAAATTATTTATAATTCAGCTGATAAATCTCTCACCTCTACCATAACCACCACCATAACCACGACAGTAAGGATTATTATTTGCATTCCAGAAACCGTTGTATTGGCAGCCTGGGGAGAAATTATATCCATAATTACAGCATCGAGGTGTCCAATTTCCTCCCCTTCCATACCCATATTGCCGCTTGTTGCGAACTGAAATTATGGAATTAGAATTAAAAAGATCTATGTATAGGCTCAGATGATGGAAATTGTTAAATGCTAATGCTAGGAGCAAATATATTGAGGGTATTCATAATTTCTATGTAACGGTAGTATTCTTCGTACCGTAAAATAAATTTGTAAGCGTCGTTAGATTTTCCCGTCGAAAATCGCGTTACCACGCTTATAATATTTACTAAGCTTGACCCCTTGTTTTAAATATACTCGTGAACTATTTTATGATACCATGGATACGAAGAAATACTGAATACCCTCATTGTAGAATGTAATATTACATAATAATGTAATATTTATGTGCATCAATTAAATACCTGAAGCACCATCATACCTGTGCAGCTTCACTCAATTTACCCAAATTGAAGCTTCATTCACGATGAGGGAGTGAAGGAGAGTGAAGCTGAGTGAGGGAGTTGAAAACTTGGATCGAGTGAGTGAAGGTGAGTGAGGGAGGCCCAAATGAGAAATGAGTGGGGTGAAGGGCGAAGGAGACGAAGGCTTCATCTCTTCACTCCTTCTCCTCCGGGGAAGAAGGGTGAAGGAATTTAGGGGAGATAATTAGTTTACATACTCAAATAAGCGTTGCAATATCAACATAGTACCGTCTCGTATTACCCCATGCAATTTTCACCGTGCCCCAGTCCAATGTCACGTTGCCCCAACCCAGTCTCACGTTGCCCCAGCCCAGTCTCACGTTACCCCAGTCGAATCTCACATTGCCCCAGGCCAGTCTCACGTTTCCCCACTAGATGGCGCCAAATTATTTACATTATGATGACGCGAGAGACTGAATTAAGTGAAAGAAAGAGTGAAGGAAATAGATGATTGAGGGGAGTGAGTGACGTGTGAAGAATGAGGGAGTGAAGGGAATGAAGGAGTGAGCATTATATTTATAAGCGAGTGAAGCCTCACTCAGCCTTCCTTCACGTGAGTGAGGGGAGTGAAGGGAATTTGTGTCGAGGTGAAAATGAGTGAAGTTGAGTGAAGGGAAATTCGCTTGCACAGGTATGAGCACCATCTGAGTCGCCCAGGGATGAATTAATTTCATCCATAGGGGAATTATCACTAAGAAATTCGACAGAAGGGGATTGATGGCGTTCTTCCGAGAATGTTGCCACTACGAGGAAACCAAGTAAGACAGTTGTGATGTAGGATTTCATCCTGGAGCGATTTAAATCTGCCTGGCAAACTGAATATTTAAGAATGACTAATTGAATTGCAAAAGATTCTTTCTTTTATATTCAGATTGTCTTAACCGTCATTGCTTAGATTTCACGATTTATCTGTTTCAAGGGACGTATGCATACATATTTAGCTTGGGAGTAAATTACGTCAATATATTTGACGTCAATATCTATATTGAACCCATTGGTGTTATTTTAGTGATGGAATTGAATTGTCATCAGACCTTTTTATTGCAGTTTTGCATGCTATAAATATTACTATGTACGTGTAATGTCACACCGAATGCTTTTAATCCAGGTAAAAATGAACACTTATGTAAATATGATACATACATATTATGGATCGTACCTAAAAAAATGGCTGTGTGTATTACTGCATTTTTTCATGTAAACGAAATCATGCTCCTTCAATTTATGCAAAGTCATATTTACTTACGTTTCGTCAAGCTCGTAATTTTTTATAAGCCCACACGTCAAATGAATGTTTTTTCATACGATTTAAAAAAAGGTGAATTATGAATTGAAAGTATAAATCAAACCTGGTCGGTTGCATAAATTAATTTGACGGCTAGATTGAAAAGCGTAGTTAGTCAAACGAAACTAGCAGTTTAAGCTCAAGTAAAATACATACTACATACATGCATATGTAAATATTACCGTATTATGTAATTATAGCGATGCGTAGGTAGACATATGATTAAACGAATGGTTAATTAGTTTATCGTCGTACTCTGTAGTTTACCATACCGTAAGTGCAGTCTTAACATAATTTTTGAATATCGTATTTAGGTGCTAAATAAATAATGAAAAAAGACGTAAACCTCAATAGTAATATTATCATGTGTTAATTATTTATTTGTGCAAAAACGTGATATTAACTAAAAAGTGTATATCATAACTTGCTTATCATACCTACGCCTTGAAATGCATAAGCCCTACGATAAAATATATGTACTTACTTACATATCATAAGCTTCATAAGGTTGGGAAGAGTTTGTTCAAAATTTTTCTCGATTAGAATAAAATTATAATAAGTATTAATAATTATATATACTGATCATCCTAGCAACGAAAGGTTGATTAGGTTTTAGAAAACCGAAATGAAAAGCCAGTAACATTGACACAAGTGTTTCTTGTAATTATTAAAATTCATCAATGGCCCAGGCAATGCCCGTATATGTAGGAACATAAAGAAAGCGGCAAAAAGACATCAAAAGCGCAAAATATCAGGCAAACAGGCATGATTCCCAAAAAAGCGGAAATTCAAGGTGGATTTGAATTTTAAACGTTTCAAAGTACATACATATGTAAGGATAGCATAAAGGAACTTGATTTAGATAAATGGTTTCCTGAAAATTTTGCTATAGCAACCACACATATTAATAGAAAAGATGAAACCTGATGAAATATAAAGATCTAAACTATATAAAGCAGGCGAGTGTATCGCTGCTGGGTCGGTGGCTTTTTTGAGAAGTTAGCCTCTCCTTTTCTCTCTCCATCCTGCAGAGAGAACAGGAGAGGCTAATTTCACTAATGTTGGGGTAACGGGCTTATCCACGGGCCTATTTTGCACGTCGATTGACGGGCTTCTACACTAGTGACAAAATAATTTATACTTACTCGTACAAATTGCACTGATCGTTTATTGGTTTATAAATAGGGGTATTTAGAGACTTCAATTTTAAGGAGTTTTTGGTATATCTAAGATTTGATTTGATTTGAAGTTCAACAGTTTAACAAATTTATTCAAACATCCTTTTCCTGGGTATGTACAAATCTACCTTAAGCATACACTCCCATATTTTAATCATTTCTTCTTATTTCTCCTCTCAAGCAGAAAAGTTGTACCTATTAACACAATCATGCAAACTATCCCGTAACAGATTCCATTAAAAAACACAGCGGGATGCGTTATGCCCCACCCTCTGATCATGATACAGCGTAACACGCGGATCGGGAAGGTGAGAGGAAGGCAGAAGCAGAAGTACCGGTACCACCACACGACAGACTCGATGGGCCAAACTGTGTCTGAAAATTATATCTCAAATTTATTTAGTGCGTTTTGACATGCAAACTAAATAATGCATGTGTAGAAATATAAGAAAACCCTTTTCGAAAGCAAGTGCCAAAACGTCCGCCGACTACGGATTCTCAGGAATTTAGTCAATTGTATAGCAGCGAGTTTCGCTACCGACGTGTTTGGCATCGTGCCCTTTTTACACTTTTGAGATAGATTTAAAAATCATAATGTCTAGTTACCTGAGGCATATATGTAAATCTGCATTAGAGAAATTCCTGCCAGAAGTGTATCCTTCACGGAGATTTTCAGTGACGCAAGCATATGATAAAGTGCTATAATTACAATCCTGGTCAGATAAAAGATGAGACCGATTAATGCCCAACTTCCTCTTATTTCATCACCCCGATCCCACCAGACGGACGAAATGATCAATCCGGCATGAATTATGGCTATCGGAATGTCGGCGATGTAATAGGAAAGAATCACTTGGTGAAAGTCGACACCCGTCGCCATCGTGCGGGTTAATGTGCCATCATTGGTGTCAAAAACGTGCAGAAATCCCATTGTTGTCGATAAGAGGGCCCACATTCTGCAATAGTTTATGTAAAACTTACGTATGTAAAACTTACGTAATGTATGTGGAAAATAATATGTTTACGAATAATTAGATACATAAAAAGGAACATCGGTACGAAGAACGTGTTCCAGGTGTCGGACATATTTCCGTAGACGGCGTTAAACTATACAAATAAATTTAGCACTGATTCTATTCGATTCTTTATTATTGTGAAATACCGAAAATGGTAGTTTAACTGCCCTTTCATCAATTCCATACTCTGTCGCAATTTGTTGAATCAACTTTTGCATGGATTCATACAATGTCTTCGTAACAAAGTAGGAGTTCATATATTCTGAAAAATGCACGTGTTTAAATTCATTGTTATTAATTATACACTGTGATTAATTTTTTAATTTAAGCAACCTGAATTATCTAATCGAATCGAAATATCTGATCCATTTAAGATTTCTTCATTGGCATGAACATTCCAGACAAGCCGTTTCAGCATGTTTTCAGTAAAATTTCCTGGGAACTTTAAGTAACCTGTTATACTTCCTACTTGAATGGCTTGTAGTGCGTCGAATTCAGTCTCCATGGGCACCTTGCGAAAAATATATTTTATACTCGGGACCGAGTACTCGATACATATGAGGAAATAATTTCCTTCGTCGTAGAAAAATAAAAAAATTACCAGGTTAATATTAGATTTTTCCAGGATGTTTAAAAATCGACACGCATAATCTTTCGCGATTAAAGATTGGTCAACCATTTTATCACAAGCGTGGCCAGATATTGTCCCCAAGTTGAGACCGAGTGAGTCATTTCCAACCGTATACAAAATGAGGTATATGTTCACCAAGAAGCACACTAGCTGGCTCAGGAGGAGTACGTACGACCTTTTCAATGACAGATCTTGATGCCCTTTGGATATGTTGTAGGTCTATACGAGTGTAGAAAAAGTGAAGGAGGGTTAAGGTCCATGGGCCCTACTTCGCCAGCCACACCCCTTTGAAGGAGCGCCCAATGCCAAACTAGCCGCACTAAAAAATTCGCCAAAAATTCAATTTTGCTCGGATTTTCAAAATATTTACATATTCTTGATCCCAGATAGTTGCTTTATCATATCCAACATCAAACCCAACTTTTTTGAAATTTCACACTTTTTCGATACATACCCCTAATCAGAAGATTTTCAAAAATTTCAAAAATTTGAAAAGGGTCGAATTTGATGTTGGATATGATAAAGCAACTATATAGGATCAAGAATATGTAAATATTATGGAAATCCGAGCAAAATTGGATTTTTAGCGAATTTTTTAGTGCGGCTAGTTTGGCATTGGGCGCCCCTTCAAAGGGGTGTGGCTGGCGAACTAGGGCCCATGGACCTTAACCCTCCTTCACTTTTTCTACACTCGTATAGACCTACATCATATCCAAAGGGCATCAAGATCTGGCATTGAAAAGGTCGTACGTATTCCTCCTCAGAGGCACTCTGTTTGTCAAATGTCAGGTTTCAACAAATTGCTATAAGAATTACATCTAAAACAACCTCGCAAAATTCGTACATATATTTTGATTAGTGTTAAAATCAAAACAAATTCCTAGTTCTGAATAAAAAAGAACTTTCCATCGTAGGCCAAAAGTGAACTTTCTTTGGTAGGCAACAGTTCGTTACCACCGTAAAAGAAAGTAGAAATTCACAGAAAAAGGCCACACAAATATCAGTAAAAGTCCCTATAATGTTACTAATTGCCCTAGTAGCTCAGAGGTCAGAGCACTTGACATGAATTCAAGGGAGCCGTGGTTCGATTCCCGGCTGGGTAACAATTTTTGGCATTATTCGGGATTTACGTATTTGATTTCTAAATATTTTGATTGTCATTTAATAACACGCACACTTGAAAATAATGTAACCCCTTTCAAAAATATTTTCGCGTTCAATTCTAAATTAAGTAATCAATTCAATTAAATAAATTTTTCCTAAGTAATGCATTCTACTTTTAATTCCTCGACTATAAATCCAGAGTAAACTTTATTCTTTGTCAAGTAAACGTTCATTCTGGATATTGCATAATTTGGTTAATAGGGAATTGAGACTATTTATTTTTCAAAAGGGTAACATTATTTTTAGGGGTGTACCCACTCACATTTCAGGGATTGGTTTAATATTTAATGTTTGCATTGCTCAACAATTAAAATTTGATATTTTTGTAACTGGGTTCAAGAATGGAGAGTTTGTGTTTGGATAGAGGTCTGGCAAAGACAAATGCGTCAAAACCTACAGCTTTATGGACAAGTTCATTACAAACTTACAATGGGTATCTTGTAAATACAATCAAATTCCGGATTGTGAGTGCCTTCAGTTGAGAATAGTAGTTCTTCGAGTGTTCGTAAAGATCTGAAATTTTCGACTGTGGAATTGCCCGAATTGGTTCTGCGTTCAAGATATTGCCATTTACAACTCCAACTTTTAGTAATTGGACCTCCTGGAAAATTTCATTCTCCATTCTTGAGAATTTAGAAATGCGTTGGGTTGTAATGTTATGTGTTTGAGAAATATTCGTTTTGCAAAAGTGTAACATTATGTCGTCGAGTGTGGTTGCGTTCAGTTTAGAATTTGTACCTGGAATGGCAAATCAAATAAATGTTTACTTCACTTTCTAAATACACAAAGACTGTGCAAAAAATGTCAAAAATTAATTGTATGAAAAATTCAGGACCATATTTTTCTAGTAACGCATTCGGCGAATCTTGCACCAACATTCGGCCATCTCGTAGGTATCCAATCTGAAATTTTAGTCTTTTAATTTTAACGTTAATCATAAACAGTTGCCTAAAAATTTTCATTTTACGTACACACTGTATATTACACAGTTTGCAATTGTCTTGAATGTTTTGTTATGTTTGGTGAAATTTTTTTCCTTTATCTATACACAAACATTTGCAAATCAGTTAATTGCATACCTTTGCGCAGTGTCTTGTTTCTTGAACGTAGTGAGTTGTAAGGAAAATCGTTGTTCCTATGGATTTAACAAGACCTTCCAAATAATCCCAGATTCTGAAATTATGTTCATCTATATGTACATAAATACATATGTACATACCTGGCAAATATTAGTATACATTTGTACATTGTTAACTTCACATACCGTTGTCGTAAAACCGGATCAATCCCGACCGTGGCCTCATCCAATACAAGAATTTGAGGCTCATGCAGCAAAGCCACGCCGAGAGAGACGCGGAGCCTCTCCCCACCGCTTAATTGGTAAATAAGTAACAAATTTGTGTTCAAGCGGCATCAATCTGTAGAGGACTATTTAACTAGTTCTGCATTTGTACCTGATGTTATTCACACTGTTGTTCAAACATGGTAGATTCAAGACTATTTTTAGGTTTGCCAGGTTGCATAAAATCTTATCTAACGGCATACAATAAAGTCTTCCGTAGTAAATGAAGGTTTCCAAAATTGTAAAGGTTTCGTAGAGACATGTTTCCTGTTATAAATGTACGCACTTGGTCTCAGATGACATTGTAAAACTTAGAAAACTTGGAAAAATATGTTATTAAATATATATGCATGCATGACATCAATTGCGTCCGTAACATGTACCTGTGGCATATATACTAGTAAACCCCCAGGCTTCCCGTTTCGAAATGTCGACATATTTCTTCTGAATAACTCAATTTTTCCTTCGTCTAACTCCTGGATTCCCACGATGCAAGAAAGCAGCGTTGTTTTCCTAATTAGTCAAAATGCTTATTGAGTTATGGATAATTGTTCATTAATGTTTACATCTATTGTCAAAACTTATATAATGATTAATTGACAAATTTACAATTACCCACATCCACTCGGTCCAAGAAGTGCTATGAATAGCTATGATATGAATAGCTATGAAATACATGATTGTTAGTTTCTTTTCAATCTGTGATGTATACAGGTTATGACAATATAGTGATTTTTCGGCAGCGAATTAGGGCATCCAGAATCGGAAAATTTTCAAAAACCGGTTTTCGATTTTTCCGATTTTGGAAAACTTTGGTAAAACCGGTTTTCGATTTTTCCGGTTTTTTAAATTTTTGTAGAACCGGTTTTCGATTTTCTCCAAAACCGGTTTTAAACCGGTTTTCAAACCGGTTTTCTACAAAATTTTAAAAAGGTGTTAAATATAATGTGGTAAAATTTAAAGTTGGACAAACTTTTTGCATTAATTTCGGGACAAATATTTCAGAACAATTGATTTTTGCATGAAACACGAGAAATCACTAATATTTTGTAGTTCTAAAACAATTTTTATCAAAAATCTAAAACCGGTTTTCGAGTGTGATAAAACCGGTTTTTTACAAAATCGTTTTTTCAGAAAATTATAAAACCGGTTTTCGAGTAAATCGAAAACCGGTTTTTAACCGGTTTTACAAAATCGGAAAAACCGGTTTTGGATGCCCTACAGCGAATCTCGAAAATTAAAGGTACAAGAAATCAGATTTATCGGCAGGGGCTGTGAGAGGCGACATTGGTCACAACCGCTACCAACACGGCAGGAACCACGATCAGCCGAACCGGCAATGTCCACCGGAATTCCGGATGTAGATAATTATCCAAGCGGGTTAGAAATGTTGCATCAATAACAACGAGGCCGTTAGATGCAGTGAATTTTATCCCATCATCAGTAAAAACTTAAGGCCAACGGAGATCTTACATTGTTCCTTTCTCCACCGTGATGTCCACTCCATCCAAAATCACCTTGTTCGAGTAGGATTTCCTGCCAGAAATGATCTTTAATGCTGCACAATCGGCCACGCTGAGCATTTTTAGGCTTGTTTTTAAATATTTTATTGTAATAATTGACCTGGAAATTTAACTTTCTTGATGATAAGCTAAACAATAAATGAGGGATATATTAGTTCCAAGATGATGCGAAATGTGCAATGTAGCATTTAAACCATAATGAATTATTGCATCTGATAACATGCAAGGTGATTCCTGCCTGACGTCAATCCGGAAAGAGGATTCACCAATAAATTAGACATTGGAGGTGAAGAGAGAATCTAGCATTGAATGAAGTTTTGAATATGGAAATACATACATATTTATTTATACACATTCAACAATGTATACACACTGGTTTATTATCTAAACAGATAAATACATAACCAATTTGCATACACATATACGTACATCACATGTGTACAATTTGCATACTAATCATAAGTCAGGAAATAAAAATGCACACATACATGTACATAAATTTAATTAATTAATTTTACAATGCTCGTTGGTTTCCCAGCTTGAAGATTGATGTTAACGAGATAAATACCTTGTTTAGTAAACATCTTGGTGGGTTTCATGAGAAGATGTGTATCGGATTGGTTAAGTACATATGTATGTACCCAAGTATCTGTACTCGCAGAATCCTTAATTCACTTATGGTAGTCACGCTACTGCAAATGTGTTACCTAGGTCAACAATTTTGTGATTTTAATTGCAACGTGAACTATTTACATAAACTAACAAGTCTAAATATTTGCATATGTAAATCCTAAAGTTTCCCAAGGTAAACTCACATACGTGGATCGTCCAATAATTTGGTTATGAAAATAAATCCATGACATTGACCTTCTCAGTTAAATCGTTTTATTAGCACAGCGATAATTTTTTTCTCACAATATGCACATACGAGGGGACAACAGAAAGTATCCGTTCTGACCATGTTCCTGCAATAAATTTGGGGTACCTGCTCTACAGAGACTGGCGGATTAAAGATATTGGGATTAAGGATTGAGATTGAGGATTCAATTTAAAATCTTGGGATTGAGATTGGGCATTATAGATTAATTTTTCAAATTTTGGGATTAAGGATTTGGATTAGGGATTGAATTTAATCTGGGATTAGGATTGATGCGGGATTAAATTTA